TTTATTTTTGGCCATTTTAAAACAATTTCCTTTACCTATTCTTCAAGATCTGCTTGTATAGCAGAGAAACTCTAGTTTTTCTCTATTTGTATTGTCAAGTGTTGCTTTTTCCTTAGCGTTGAGTCAGCTGACATTTGTTTGGTTAGTGGAGGCATTATTCTCTCACCATTAGCTAATCTAGGAATAGGTGGAGGTTGTGTGAATGTGCTTTAGAGTCAATTATAAAACTTAAGGTGGTGAATTGGTGGGATATGAGAGTCTGATATAGCATTGTGTTTTGGAGCAGTAAATGAATGGATAGCAGAGACCTTAGATTTGGTTTTCAGCACTTGGGAAATAGAAGTTTGAGGCTAAAACCTAAAATGGCAATAGGGATTCCGGCAAGTGCATGCTCTTCCCGGAAGTTTCCAGAGTAGTTCAAAATCTTAGCAACTGATGTATAGATTCACGAGGTGCACCCTGTGTCGAGGTTGCCTTAAAACGCCATAGGGTGCCAAAATTTAGTTCCCAAATCCAGTAAGCAACACATGTACTCCTAATTTCATGGGCTCTAAATGCTTGTCTGTATCATACATGTTTCTTCCAAAGCAGGTCAGCCAAAAGTTGTGCTAGCAAGATAATGAAGATAAGAATAAGTTAATGACAGAAAGGGAAAAAGAAAAGAAAATGTTGAAGGAATTACACAGTGTGGCTGCTGTGCACTTGCAAAGGCATTTAAACATTTTATCATGACTATGAAGATGATTTTAGGAAGAGATGTCACTTTAAGAACAACCCCCTAGCCAAAAAATATTTCCCATGGAAAATTAGAATGTTAGAAGTGGGAAATAGGAAGAATAGCTGTTATTGAAGCTTCAATCTATAGAGGTGTCTAGAATATTGTTATGCAATTGCTTTTCCCCTTTAGAATGACCAACTTCTCAAATGAGTGCTTTTTGAGGCACCCATCTAAATATTGCTTCTCCACTCTCCAGTCACAGCAGTCAGCCACTACCTCTTTAGTTGCTTGAGTCATCTACTTGTGTGCATCATAAACAAGATTTCATACTACCGTTCTGATCATTGCACTTATTAGTTGTATGTGCTTATGAATGTTATGATTGATTGTTCTCTATCTGATCCTCATTTGTTCACAATTTTTGCAGTCATTCCTTGGTACCAAGGTATGAGAACAGTGGGAGTCCTGAACCTGTGGGGATGATCAGTAAAGGAATCTCAAGGTTATTTTACTTCACTATAATATTTGTCAAATTGTAAAAATTGGACGGGGAAAATCATTAGAATCTAACGCTAAAGAGGATGCTCCTTTGATATAAAGTTGGTTTAAGGATAGAAGGCTGTAATTATCATCTCGTCCTCCCTGTACAATAATAGCTGCAAGTCTTGCTGCTATGAAATGTTAAGAGTGTTTGGGATTAGAGTTTCACTCACTCTGCTTTGAGAGTCTAGACTATGAAAGGTATCTCTGTGAATGGCCTATTCTTGATGATTCAGGGGCAGCAAAACCTAGCTAGTTCATGGTTTTCCCATGCTTCATATTTTATAAAATATGATTATTAAAGATGTTTGATTTTATAACATGTTAGGTTGCCTCTGTACTTGATCAGTATCTCAGAATTTCATTGGAAGACTCATATTTTCCCATGGTTCTGCTTTAGGAAGTAATTCCTAGAGGCAACCGTGTATAGAATTTTCTTCGAAGTTGCCATTTGTATAATGGTAATAGGAAAATATTATATGATTCAAGGACCAAAGGCTTGGTTGCAGCCTTCTGGGGAAAAGATGCTGCCCCCAGAAAGTGCTTCATCTGCCTCAGGATTGTGTTGTTGGGAGTATTAGTCATCTTTCCCAACTTTTTCTAGTTTATCTTTAGGGGGTTTTCGCCCCAGCAGCACAATTCTGGTGCAAGCAGGCAGCATTCTCCAGCCGTAGCAATTTTCTCGGCAAGGCTGTAACTAAACACAGCCTCAAGGCCTCATGAAAACATTTTAGGCTACACAATGTGCTAAGGGCAGCTGATAACTCATTTTTTTCTTCTTCCAATCACACAATGAGAGACAGGTCTTTTATACTTCATATCTCATTCTATTCATATCTCATGTGATGTGACTCAAATATAAAATCTCTTCTATTAAAATGAGATTACTACTAGATTATATAAATCGTAGATAAGTTGAGAACTACTAAATCCTTAAGAAAAGCTGCTTTTAGGACAATAGAATTTGCATGGTAACAACAAATCTTGCCATATAAATACTTGGTGCGGATTACTAGCATTAGAGATTAGGGTTGATTGGTCTGACCTTTAAAAAGTTAGTAGGAAAAGCATCTTAAAATTATGTTCTTTTAGTAAGGCATGAGAAAAGACTAAAAAGAGGCTTAAATCATACTATAAAAATCAGGTATTATAGTTTTTTCTTTTTTCTTTTTTTTAAAAAAGTTTATTAAAATGATATGGTTTAGAAATGATTTTATTTTTAATTTTTCAGAGATAAGGTGGATTGGCATTCTTTCCTTACTAATATTATCAACTAGGTCTTTTTATTTTTTTATTATTTTTTTTATTTTTTACTTTATAGATTGTGTTACACAACAAATGGTCTTCAGCTTCTTTTATTAGTGTTGCATTGTAACTATAGGTATTTTTTTCAACATCATTTTCTATCTTAAAAATAAATAAATTATTAATTAAAATAAATAAAAATATGCAAAAAATTACATTTGTAAATAAGATGTTATATGAAAGGGTTTATTTGGAAAACTTTCATGTTATCTCAAATTCCTTTTTAAATTGTTTGATTTAAGGTTTAGACTTAAAATTCTAATTTAAAGTTTGAAGGTCTTTTTTTGTCAAATATTACTAGCTAGTATTTGCTATCAATTGTCTTTTTCGGCATTAATATTTTGGTATTTGAAATCCACATCGGGTTCTCATTAATTTAAAATTGAGGTGCGATTGACCCCTATAAGAGGAAAGTTCTACTAACGTTAGCTTTTTTTATTCATAATATTTGAATTTAAAATCTTATTTAAAAAAAACTAAAATCTTTCTATTGAAATCGAATTTCTTTCACTAAAACCAACAAATTGCTGGTATTTGCCATAGATTGTGAATCAATAGTGACAAATAAATTCTAAGTGTATTTGTGGGTTTGATTTTTGATGATGCTTACAATAAAACCACTTTTCTAAAAAAGACAAAAATTAAAAATCAAGCTCTGCAGATTTTTGGAGTCTTGAGAGCTAAATGTAATGAGGGTACAAGTTGAAGTTGGAATACTCCAGTAAACAATGCATCTTTTCCACATGGTTTTTAAGGACATTCAGGTTTCTTCAGTAGTCGGAGACTTGGAAGCTCGAACCCAAATTGGACTTATATATATATATATAAGCAAATTGGACTTTTATTGGTGTGGAAACCTGGTCCCCAAATCAGAAGAAAAGGGCCACAAAAAACTATGGTATATATATTTTTCAGGTTAGTGTATCTCAATCATATCTCTAAAAAATAGAGAGAGAAAATATTTTAAATTTATATTATTTCAATAAAGTATTACTAAAAACACTTTAACAATCTCATTTCTACTTTAAGAACAAATTATTTTAGTTTTTTTAATAAAAATTTATTAAAATAATTTAATTTTAATGTTTTTTTTTTTGGAGAATTAACCGAATTTGTGCTATTTTAGTATGATTGGTTTGAGGAGAATTGAAAGAAAGGGAGGGAATAAAAGGATGTACATTTTCCTCCCCTCCCTTCTTTTAGCCTCCAGTTTGGATAGAGGGTGTTGAGGGGGAAGGGGAGGAGAGTAAAGGAGAGGTTTCTCTTCTCTCTTGTTTGAATAAAATCATTAAAGGACAAAAAGGGAGAGGGAGATAAATGGAGGGGCGACGAAGTCCCTCCTAATCCCATATTTCTAATCCCTCCATTTTAGAGGATTAAGAGGGATTCAATTTATATTTATTTTATTTTCTTATCATTTAAAAAAAAAAAATGTAATTACAACTTCCATTTCAACTTTAATTTTAATATATAAATTTATAAAATTTAAATTAATTTTATAATTATTTTATCATTTATTTAATTAAATAAAAAATATAATCTTTCTCTCCATCCCCTTCCTCTTTTTTAATCTACCAAAACAAAATTAATACTAATTCTTTCTTCCCCTTCCCTTCTCCTCCCTTCTCATCTCCTCTCTTTCCTTTCACTTTCTTTTACTAATTTTTATCTTAACATATTTAGATAAGGGAAGAAACTAAAAATAAAATAAAATAAATGACTTCCTGTTTTCCCCTCACTCTAAATATACCCTAAAACCTTGTCAAAAAAATATATATATACCCTAAAAGCACGTATTAATAATGCAATTATTGTACTCCCTTTTTTATTGGTATTGAAAAGAAAAAAGTTCACCTAATTTGTTTAATCAAGTTTTCAATTTAAATGATTCACATTATATTGATGACAAAATTAATGTCATATTTTATTTTTTTTAATACTAATTAATAACGTTTCCTTTGCACCGAGCCCTTTGGCTCAAGTGGCAACAGCCACTCACGGTGCACTTCTCCCTCCCCCGAGTTGGGTTCGACCCAACCCCTTGTAAAACCTGTTCAAAAAAAAAAATTAATAACGTTTCCTTTAGTAGGTCTGGGTTTTTTTCTAATAAAATAAAAACGTAATAATTTATCAAAAAAATTACATATTTATTTCTAATTAAATGTCACTTAAATAAGATTTATCATTTAATATATGTTGTAATTATATTTCAAAATAAAAATAAAATAAAAATAAACATAATAAATGATATCTTAAAATAAAGTGGATAGCTAAATTTGAATGTCCTAAATTAAAAATTAAGTCTTTTAAAATTGAAACAAAAAAATATTAAAAAAATACAATAATAATATTATTAACTTGATCTATATTCTTTGACGCTCTAAAGTTTTACGAAATTGGAGGTAATAACTACTGTATTAATAATTAGTATAAAAGATTCTAATTTCCTAAAATTTCATTTTCAATCTTCTTTATTTTTTTGGCATTATTTTCATTCTTCTTTTATAGAAAACTTTTTAAAATGGTTTCTATAGTTACATACTTTTCTAGTATTATTAAAAATTTATATTCAATTTTGTTTTGCCAATCAAGTTTGTTGATAGCGAGTTTCCCTTTAATATCTAAAATTTAAGAAGAAATATAAAATTCCAAATCGATATTTCTCCTTTTTATTATAGTATATTTGATTATAAATTACATGACAACAGATGCCCTTTTTTCTTTAGTATATTTCAAGTAACCAATATTATGTAAGGTAATTCAACAATAAAAATTAAAAAAAGTATCACTAAATTACTATATATACCATTAATTGCTGAAATAAGAGACATGAAAACAGAAATAAAAATAACAACGTCATTAAACACAACCTTAACTACTTCATTTGTTAGTGCTTCGCACGGGGGTCTTTTTCACAAAATATTTTATTTAAAAATATAAATTGATTATTTTTAGTTAATTTTAATTAACATTTTATTTACTTTTTACACAGTTAAACAAAGCACAAAGCACAATGCACAATGCACACATAACATTGACAAAGGAAACCACATCCTTTAATTTTTTTTTTTTTTGATCAGCAAAGCAACATACGAAATATATTGGCAAAGGAGCAACCACATCCTTTAATAACTTAAATTAGGATTTGGAAAGATACATCTGGTTTTATTTAACGAAAAAGTGATGTGCAGCATAAATTATTTTGGACTGCATAATTTTAATTATTAAATGGAAGTAGGTTTTGATATTGGGGGCTCTCTCCCCTAGTCAATAGTTTCTATTTTATAATTTGACACAATTCAAACTATAAAATAAGGAACTTTTAATTTAATAATTTTATAGCAAACAAGATAATGCAACAACGAATAGGAGTTGAGTTTGTGCTCAACTTGATAAATTATGATTAGTACACACTTAGTTCAACATAATTTCCCACTCTCATCCCAGTTCAACTATTAAAATATAATATATGTACAACTGATTCGATCGATTCTTGCATAATCTTATATGCATGATTGCATTTTTAAATTTGTCTACTTTTAATTTTAAACCAAAAGATAAGGATATTTCAATGTAATGTATTGAATCAAAGTGTGTACTAATAATTATTCTTTCAAAAGATAAATGGACTTTTATTTAACGAAAAAGTATTATGTAGTGTAGACTATTTCAAATTGTACAACTTTAATCATTAAATGAGAGCAAAACCTTGATATTGAAGGCTTCCCCCTATCCAATGACTCTTGTTTTATGGACAGGAAATACTTTATTTAATAGCAAACAAGATAATGCGCCAATAAATAGGAGTTGAGTTTATGCTCAACTTGATAAGTTAGGATTTCCAAAGATAAACACGGTTTTATTTATATGAAATTTTTTAATACACGTCTTAAGGATATAAGTTAATAGTGTATTTATTGTATTATTTTATTATCAATTTACATGAAAAAAAATAAAAATTGACTTAAGTTTTAACATTCATTTAATTAAATCATTTCATATGACATTAATATTAAAAATAAAGTTTATTTTTACAATTTTTTATATAAATTAATAATAAAAAATATAATAAATAAATTCTTAATCTGTCTACTAAAAGCATATCTTAGAAAGACCCTATTTATAATGGCAAACAAGATAATGTAGCAATAAATAGGAGTTGAGTTTATGCTCAACTTGAACTTGATATTAGGATTTGGTAAGATAAATGGGGTTTGATTTATAAAAGTAAACAAGCTAATGCAGCAGTAAATGGGAGTTGAATTTATGCCCAACTTGATAAGTTATCCATTAAATAGAGCACGCGCAGCAGCATGTTGAGTCACGCAGCATGTGCTCTTTGAATTAAAACAGCAGGTTGTTTTTAAATAAGTATTAATTAACGTTTTGTTTTGTTTAGTATGATTTTGATTTTGAGTTTTTAATCTTCATTTTTATAGATTTGGGATTCTAAATAAAAAACTTGTTTATTTTTATGTGTTTTTGTAATATATTATTTTGGTTATTAGTAAAATAAACACAAAAATAGTTTCAATACTATTACACAAGTAAATATTTTTAAGTTGGTAGTGTTAAAATTTGTTTTAAATAAAATTTTTATTTTTAATTTTTAGTTTTAGTTTTTGATAACAGCAGAATACACAAATTTATTCCTAAAGTTGGGTTGTAAGAACATATATCTCCCAAAACAAAAAATTGAGACAAATCTATCTACAAAATTTTCAATTTAAACAATTTGGTAAAAATGAACTTATTAATGGAACAACAACTTAATGGATCATTGACATCATTTGATGTCATATGTTAAACTTAGGGTAATTTGTTTAAATCAAAAATTTCGTAGGTGAATTTTTTTTTTTTTTTTGATAAAGCTATCTCTATTGTCTAATTTTGAGGGTAAATTTAGGCATTCTACCTTTGATAATTGCAAAATTTATAAAAACTATATATATATATAAAAAGAAAAAAAACCAAAACCACAACAATACTAAATATAACCTAAATTTCCTGTCAAGCAGTACCCCACACACAAGATTTTGAAATTTTAAGTTGTAGTCTCAAGTTTAAATTTTGAAATGAGCGGAGAAGTATCATAAGAAGAAACTGGTAGGTCCCTGTCTTAAGAAATTCGGCTAATCTCATTCTATGCAAATCATGAACAGCACTGTAAATTCGATGTTTCATATAAAGAAAGAGCATATTCCATGCTAAAAGTCAGAAACATATATCTACCTACCTATATTGATTTATGCATTAGAATAGCAACTTGCCAACGGCACATTTCTCTCAACTTGAACACCTTACTGGCTTATATTGATAGCTTAATCAACCTACCCTAATATTTACTTTCTTGGCGAACTACCACAAAAAGCCTTGTAATTGGATTCATCAATGAACAGGCCACCGGAATACACTATTTCCATTTTAGAATAATAGAATTTTTTGATTTTATATATATTTACATTAAGAATTTGAAAATAATTTCTATTTTTATTTATTTTATTTTTTAAAAATAAAAATAAAAAAGACTTTTTTTATGATAAAATAGATAATTAAAATTAAGAGATAATAATAAAGATAAGGAAAAAAAACCTGTCTCCCTTAAAAAATGAAAAAAAGTAACTATTATTTTAGATAAATTCTAGATAAAAAAATGTCTATTATTTTGGATTGGTGGGAATAGATTCATACAATGATGGGGATATAATTTTTTAGGTATGTAAAAGAAAAAAAAAAAAGGAAATGTAAAAATTCATAAAAAAAAGTTAATATCATTAATAAATTAACACATATAAATAATTTATTAAAAATATTTAAATAATTTTATAAGTATTCATGCTTCTTTTTTTTTCGCTAGGATCTATTCGAAAAATACTTTTGTAATTAGATTTGCTAATTATAAAATTACTTATGATCAGAGTTTTACTTCTCCAGTCTTAGAAAAACTAACCATCTATATATTGAGATCAAAGAACTACTCTTTCAATTCAATTATCCTATTACAAAAATATTTTTTTATCTTTTAATTTTTTTAAAGGTAATATAAATAAATATATGAATTATTCTCAAATCGTTAATTTAGAGAAAAGTTAAAAAACTATAATTATTTTAAGATAGAAAAAGTATAATTTTAAATAGAGATTAGTGTGTATCAATTTTG